ACTATTCAGCTCCCTGCAGCAGAGAGTAGGGACTGCCTGAATCTCCAAATCTTTTTTTTCTGCATCTTTTCTGAATTGATTCAGAGGCTTTGAATTGATTTGGACCTTTTTATTGGTCTCCCAATTCGATTTGGATTCAGAGATTTGGCCACTGAATTGGACTGAATCTCCTCCAAATTGAATCAGCAACCTAAGCTTCATGCAGCCCTAGTGAATACAACCTGAAATAAAATGTTGCTTACACTTATCGCCCCCATTTTTGTATTCTAATATGTATTCTACTGCCTGAGATCCTAGTGAAATAAAATGTAGAGTATAACATACACTGCTCTTTTTCATTTTTAATGTGGAGCATAATTAAATTAAATATGAAAAAATATTCAAAATATGTTTTAATGACTTGTGAAAACTGTTTGCTTAATAGCCCTGTAGACCAACTTGCCTTATTTAGCTCATCACCATGTACTATACCACATTAAAGGAAAATTTACCAAGACCATAACTTCTGCTATGAGGTACTTCAGTCATTTTCTGTTGTATGTACTCAGAAAATGGGATCAGTATCCACAATCCATTGTATCACTGTAACATTGCTGTCAGTAAAGGAATGGTTTTCAGTTACTGTCAATTGTTGTATAAAGTAGCTTTTTTGTAATATAGATATTTGCTCTTTCACAAGCTCCTTTCAAAAGACCTCAAGTAGCACCCCTATGGCAAAGATATTTCCTACTATTGCTGGTCTAAAGCACATTTTTCACTTGTGGTAGTGCACGAGATATAGGACTAATCTCTTGGCCATGACTTCTCCCACAATGCCCACTCTTGTTAGAAATAAGTTTTATTTTTCCTTTGGTATGTTTAGAACTAGATTTTTTGCTTCTGTAGGCTGGGAAATATTGTGCTCACCCTAAACGACACCAAAGCACACTGGTTGGTGAGCCCTTCAGGTGTTTGTCTTGGCTAACCTATTCTCTTCCTTTTGTCCCCTCTTCTTTCTTCCCTGTTCCCTTCCCTACTGTGACTAAATCAATTACCTGTGTGACATGTTCAGCTTTTTCTGGCAATAAGCCTAGGTAATCAAATCTGTCCTCAAACCTCTGTCTCCCATTTTGCAATGTAATGCCTTCCTTCTGTTAAATCAGGTCAGCTCACAGGGAAAACCAAAACAAAATAAGTTTCTATAACTGTAATTGCCACTGAGTAAATTTAGATAATGCACCTGACAAACATTTATTGAAAGGACCATCAAAGAAATAATTTTAAAGCCCTTCTATTTTTACTATTGCATTAGTTTACCCATGGAGTATTACAGGCAGAGAAAGATGAAACACTGTTTCTGCCGTTTTATATCAAAGCGAAATAAATGTGTTTTTCGTACCTATATAAAAACAAACAAACATTCTGTTGTTGTTTGTGGTAAAAAATATATATATTTTAAGTACAAATGGTCTGTTCCACCCCTTTGCTTCTGTGAATGCAGGGAAGGCCAATGCAGGAGGACTTTTTGAATGGGATAGATAAATCCTTTAAATTAGAGGTTCTCAAACTGTGGTCTGCAGACCACCACTGGTCTGCGAGCTCCATTCAGGTGGTCTGCAGAAAGGTGATCTAAAGCTAAAGCTGACAAACATTATACCTGATTTCCCCAAAAAACAGGCACATCCATTGCATTAAAAAGGTATATTAAAGGTGATATTAAAATATGAGTTATGTGCTTTTCTATATAGAACAAATAAAAATTTATTAAGTAGTCTGCTGAGACCCTCATCAGTTTTCAAGTGGTCCATGGAAAAAAAATGTTTGAGAACCTCTGCTTTAAATTATTTTATTATTTTGACCTTTATACATTTTACCATTCTATCTGAGATCTTGTATAGGAATATCTCTTGCTATGTGACCAGAAGCAGAAAATGTACTAATTTCCTGTGTGGATGGTCTTAATTGCGATATATATTGTAACTTAGTTTTCTGTTAAAGGTAAACTGCTTTGCTCAAATTCACTTAGTATTCCCCGAGAGGGCTAAATACTCTCCATATTTTGCGTCAGTGTTTCTGCATGCAAATGGTGGTCACCTGCCTAGTCAGATACTGGATGGATCCGGGAAGGGATCGGGGGCAGGGGGGAGGGAGGAGGGGCAATTGCCAACCAATGGTGAGGGAGCACTTAGAGCAGCAGAATATCTTCAAGTCAGCAGGACTGAATGGACTACACCCGAGATTGCTGAGGGAATTGTCTGGAGTCATTGCAGGACCATTGGTGAAGGTATTTGAAGACTCATGGTACTTAGGAGAGGTCCCAGAAGACTGAAAAAGAGCCAGTGTGGTGGCAATATTTAAGAAGGAGAGTAGGGAGGATTCAGGAAAATATAGGCCACTCAGTTTGACCTCCATACTGGGTAAAATTTTGTAAAAAAATTATCAAGATGTCCATTTTTGAGAGACTGACAGAAGGCATGATGGCTAACATGGTTTTTGGGAAGGATAGCCAACATGGTTTTTGTGTGGACGGGTCATGTCTGACCAACCTAGTTTCCTATGATCAAACTGCTTAGATGTGGGAGATGCAGTTGATGTCATAGACTTGGATTTTAAAAAGGCCTTGGATATGGTTTCCCATGATGCTCTTATAAAAAAAAATAACTGGGGGATTGTGGGCTGGCAGAGTCCACAGTCACATGGGTTGTGAACTGACTAAAGAGTCAAACCCATAGAGTGTTAGTGATGGGTCTGTATCGCCTTGGTGGGAGGTGGCTCATAGTGTCCTGCAGGGTTTGGTTCTTGGTCCTGTGCTGCTCAACATCTTTATCAACCATTTAGATGAGGATGTGGAAAGCATGCTGGCCAAGTTTGTGGATAATACAAAGTAATAGGAAAAAGTGGTCATGCTAGGGGCTAGGATGCGAATCCAGGCAGTCCTGAGCAAGCTGGAAAGGTGCGTGGAGCAGAACCAGATGCAGTTCAATAAGGATAAATTCAGAATGCTTCATCTGGGAGAAGTAACCAGTGACATGAATATAGGTTAGGAGGAGATGTCCTGGCCAGGACGATGGCTGAAAGGGACCTCAGGGTTATGGTTGATCATGGGATGAACATGAGCTGCCAGTGCAATGCTGTAGTCAACAGAGCTAACAACGCACTGGGATACATTAGCCGATGCATTGTGAGTGAGGTTAAGAAAGTGATACTTCCTAACTACTTGGCACTGATGAGACCCCATCTGGAGTATTGTGTCCAGTTCTGGGTGCCATACTTTAAAAAAGGCATGGAGAATATTGAAAGGGTCCAGAGAAAGGCCACAAGAATGATTAAGGGCCTGGAGAACAAACCTTGTGAGGAACAACTAAGGGATCTGGGACTATTCAGCCTAGGGAAGAGAAGACTGAGGGGGTACTTGGTTCCTATATGTAAGGGGTGAATATTGGGAGCTGGGAGGGAAAATTCACTAGGACACCTTAGGGGAGAACAAGAAGCAATGGCCATAAACTGTTAGAGTGTGGTTTCAAGTTTGATGTAAGGAAAAACTTATTTATGGTAAGGGTGATCAGAATCTGGAATAGACTTCCCAAGGAGGTGGTAGAGTCCCCAACCTTGGAAGTCTGCAAGAGGAGACTGGACAGACACCTTGCTGGGATCATTTGATCTCAACAGTATTTGTGTCCAGAGCAGGGGGGGCTGGACTCAATGATCTTTCGAGGTCCTTTCCAACCCTTGATTTCTATAAATTTAATAGCACTTATGCACAGTTTGGATTCTTATTTTACTTGTGGCAAAAAAGGTTTGCCCAAGTATATGCATACCTACCAGAAGAGAAGTAGAGAGGGAGAAAGGCCCTCCAGCTTATTGGCCTAGCGTTGAAGGATCTTACCCAGAGACTTGCAAGATCCATGTTCTAGGCCCATCTCAGATGGCATTTAAGCCTGAATCTCCATCTAAGTGTTCTAACTACTAGCCCACAGGTTAGACATTACCCAGAGCACCCTCTACCCATCCCCTCAAAGCTGGCCATTGGACAGCCAGGAGAGGAAAGTATATGGGGTCTGCAGGGGGAGCACAAGCTAGGGAAAGGCTGGTTCACTGAAATAAACTACCCTGGAAGATAGGAATTTGGAGTTCTGGCTCTGGTCCCTAAGGTTGCATCTTGCATTCATTAAATAAAGTAGGATAGTTCAGCTGGGATAGGGGCAAGGCAAAGAATTCATGTTGAAATTGTCATACAGCTATTCAGTGGGGTTTCTTATAATTATAAAAAAAATATTGAGAGAGATTTCAATTTTATGGATGTATTCCACACAATGGAAAGTTCTAAAGGATTTTTATCTGCCATGCGCATATGATGACGTACTATGCTTTGTGGCCCAGAGAGTGGATTGAGACTCAGGAGACCTCAGTTCATGTGTTCTCTGTCTTAGTGTTCTTGGGTGCCTGTAGACATGCTGCAAGTACAGTGCATTGGAGCAGACTCGATTAACCAAGTCTGCTAATTAGCACCTTCCAGCAGCCTTGGCATGTCACATATTCAGCATCCCCCTGCTTAAAAAAGGCAGTGGGGGTGCTTTAACTAAAGCTCATCAAATGATCTTTATAAAGCAGCTCCACCACCATACTGAAGCATGGGACGCTGAATACACAAGACACTGTGGGCGTTTTAACTAGAGCAGCTCCCAAGAGCCACTTTAATTAAAGTGTCTTCCTCACCCCCAGAGGACATGTAGAGATGCCCCATGTTACTTGAAAAAAGTAATTTAATTTTCCTGTGTTGGTTTCCTGTCCAAAAAAATGTAAAGGTTATTTCATCTTTCCCTTATCCTTCATCTGTTTTATCTGTAAGGCTTACAAGATCTGTGGTTCCCTCTTCTCAGTTGGTGTCATGTTATACAAATGACCTTAACTTGCTCACCTCTTCAGTGCAGAGACCACATTATTGGCACAGAACTTTAACTTGACCCCCAAATAATTTTTGACTTCCCTCTAACATGGTCCTTTCTTTTTTTTCCCCTCAGCATGTGACCTGATGACCCTGGGGATCTTAGCCTTAGTTACATCCACTGGCTGTGCCTCAGCCAATGCCCTGCAGTCCCTGACGGATGCCATGCACATTCCACATCTCTTTGTACAGCGCAACACGGGAGGCTCCCCACGTACTGCTTGCCACTTAAACCCTAGCCTTGAGGAGGAAGAATACACACTGGCAGCCAGACCGCCTGTCCGCCTCAATGATGTTATGCTAAAACTAGTCACAGAACTTCGATGGCAAAAATTTATCGTATTCTATGACAGTGATTATGGTGAGTAAAATATATTGTTTCAGTGACACTATTGACTTTCTCATGTTTAACTAGAAAAGGAAGTATAAACATATGCTGTGGGAATGCAATTGTTTGGGCTATTTAAAGACATGGGGAAAATATTTTGAGTAGACATAGCTCTTTATCTTAAATGCACAGTTTTAACGAAAACTAATTCTCAGGGAAGCAGTAAAATTGCTTAGCAATGCCATACTAAGACAGCTGAAATTTGAATCATCTAACAGTTTTTCAATAAAATATTAATAAACTGTTGACATTGCTTGGCAGGGTCATATGTGTATTCTAGAGAGTACAAGTCCTCTAATACAGTTTCTATCAAAACTGAGCTTTATTCTCTTTAAAATTAATTTTCAATACTTCTATTTTTATCATTTCTTTACATGTTTCCTCATGCCTTTCTCCATTTGGAGTATTTATCATAGTGGTATATTTTATGACATTATAGTCATAGTTAAAGTTAGTGTTTCCCTGATGTCTGATGTGAATTTCATATCTCAGTTGGCAACATTTTACTCTGGACTAAACCTTGGCAAACAGAAGTTTCTGCTTGAGCAAATTTGATGTTTCAAGTTGGGAAAAAATAAGCATAGTTGGTGCTGAACACTTGGAAGGAAAATGAAAAAAATCTAAGTTTATTAATTTTATGCTCCAGTGCTGAAAACTTGCCTCTGTTTATTAAGTTGATTTTTTTTTTCTTCTAGTTTATTGACACACGGCATAAAGATTTCGGTAGAGTTCAACATATTGATTCTTTCTTCTCCTTGGTCTCTAATTTTGTAGGTGTTAATTGCTTCTCATTAACATGCTTATCCAGACTAGCTACTATGTTACACAATCAACCATGATTCGTTCAGGGACCTGCTCCATACAGAGATTTCTGCTCTTGCTAACATTTTGTTACATGGTACAACTTACTTTTAAACTTAAAGTACATTTGTGAAAGTATCTACAAGCTCTATTTTCACTACAAGTATACATTATATAATAATAATAATATAATAAAAGAAAAAGAGGGGGGAAGGAAGAAAAGTTAGAAAAGAGAAAGCATCCCCAAAAGGGGGCAAATACTAAAAGAGGGGCTTTTGCCATATGGAGGAGCTTCACATTTGAGGGGCAGGGGACAGACAAAAGGGTTTCTTGCTACAGATATAGACCAGTTTTGTGTACCAAACTTCTGTTCTGTTACGAGTATAGACTGGTTTCTGATCACTTATACTAGTAAAAGTGTAATATCTGTACTTGGCCAGAATCTTTACAGTCTTTAAGAGTGAAATACTTAATCCAAAACAATGAGCTATATGCTTTAGGGCTGTGTGAAGCTTTGGGTATTGATTCAATTCGGAGGAGATTCAGCCCAATTCGGTGGCTGAATCTTCAAATCCAAATTGAATCAGGGGACCAATAAAAAGGTCCAAATCAATTTGAAGCTCTCTGAATTAATTCAGAAAACATTCAGAGAGCTTTGATTTAGGCAGTGGGGGTGCTTTAACCAAAGCTTGTCAAATGATCATCTGGAGCTGGACTCAGAGCTGGTAAGTAGGCACGCCCTGGGTACTGCTGGGCGGGGGGGCAATTCCCACTGCCCCCACTGCTCCACACTGCATGGGGGGCTCTGCCATGAGCCCCCAATCCCCCTCATGGCTGCCCCACCTACACCAGCTCTGGTCCTTTAAGAAAAACAAACAAACAAAAAAACCTGGACTCACCAGCTCCTGCAGCCACCTCGGGGCTTCAGGGGGCTTGTGGAAGAGCCCCCTATGCAGCATGGGGCAGTGGGGCTCACCTCCACCCCCCCACTAGGCAGGAATCGGTGAGTTTGGGGTTTTTCTGGGTTTTTTTTTCTTTCTTAAAGGGCCAGACCTGGGGTAGGCAGGGCAGCCATGGAGGAGGAGGCTGAGGGAGCAGGCAGGAGTCAGGGAGCTTGTGGCAGGGGGGGATGGGCCTGGCCTGGGTGGTTTGGAGATTCGGCAGCAGCCGAATCTCCGAATTAGATTCAGCCAAATAAATTCAGGGCAATGATTCGAATCACCAAATCAAGTCACTGTCCCCCAAATCGGCCAAATCTGAATCTGAAGCGAATACTAGCTGCTTCGCACAGACCTAATATGTTTAATAGAAAGGTTGTCTATAATGTTATTGTGACTCATTGCAACATGTGGGAGGTGTGGGGAGGAGGAAGCTGATTCTGTGCTATAGCTAGTCACTGTAGTCCCATGGACAGCTCTATGATGCACTAGCTGGTTATGATTCCTTAAGGAATGTTTACCAGCTGAGGAGTCATGCAATCTCCAGCTTTCCTTTTTTACACTTCTCCTTGGCGTTATCATGTTTTTTGCATTGTGGACAGTGGGAAAGGAAGAGGAAAAGAGTGCCATGCCCTCTGGAGACTTTCCTATACTGGAAGTTTTTGCAGCTGGGGTGTAATGAGAGATTTTTTTCAGTGTCCTGTATTTTGCTGCAAAAAGGAAACAGAGCAGGTAAAAAAAATCTGGTACAGGAGTAAAGCTAATTTTGTTAATTTTGTTCTGCAGCAGTTATCAAGAAATTATAATTTTCCAAACCTGTTTATGGGTAACAGTGGGTTTGGACAAATGTCTGGTTTTCAGAAGAAATTTTGGGAAAAAAAGGGAAATGAGTAAAATCTCTTATGTTTGAAGCTTTTTTTATTGAAAAAACGGTTTTTCCTTTTTTTAATTTGAAACATTTAGTTTTGAAACAGATTAATTTTAAGGTTAAAACAAATAAGTGAAATCAAAACTGAATATTTTTGAATTATTGAGGAAATATACTTCTGAAATCTACTAATTGACCAATCCCATTTTAATTTTTTATCAAAAATTTGAGATTCTGGGTTTTCTTCATGATTTGAGATAAAGGGTTTTTTGTGCCCCATAAAAATTTCAAAATTGGAACATAATTTTTTAAGTGGCTCTCTTAAAGGAACTAGTGGATATTTTCAGGGAAAGGGAGAAGCCTAGTTTATATGAAATAGCTTTCTCTATAGGAATTTAACAAACTGAGGATGACTGCCACTTGTTTGCTTGAAGATTCTTAGCCATTTGCTTTTGTTCCTTTTCCACAACCGTGTCTGTACCTCTCATTTAAAAATAAATACAAGCAAACTTTATTTGGAAATAACCCTGTGCAAAACGTGAAACAGAAATAATTTTTTTTCTGGATTATTACTTTTGGATGTATGCAGAAAAAAAAATTATAAAGGGGGGATTTGTAGATGCATACAAATTGTGTGTCCTTACCCCCTGCAGCAGGGCTGTTTTATACAGCTATGGCAATAATAAAACATAGGCTCTTTGATATTTTTGGCATGGACTCTGTAGACAGAATTCTGTATGTGTAAACTTCACTGAGTGGAAGTTGTTCCCTTCCAGTAAAATCTCCCAAAATATTATTTATGAACTTGTGACAAGAAATGGAAGAATTTCATAGGAGTGATTTGAATGATCTAAAAAGAAAATTTTTTAAGTGGAAATGCCAGAAGGTGTGTTCAAACTGTGATATTCAAGCTGAATTCAAACTGCAGCATTTAAATTTTACTACTTTTGTGGAAAAGAAATGAGTAATAGTTTGTTTCTAGAGAAAGAGATCTTTCAAAGACTTCAGACTTGAAAGATAAGACATTATAACTCTCCTCAATTACACAATATTCTCTTACTGGTCTGTATTGATAGAGGGAAAGATCAATTGGTACATCTCCATATAGCTATTATACGTTTATGAAAGGTGGGAGGGGAATTCACATTTTCTGTATAGATAATGCATGTTATGACTTGGATAACCGTCATTTTTCATGTTTAATGTTACTATTCTAATTTATGGCTTGTGCATAAGAGGTATGGGATTTAAGAAGCACAGAAAGAACCTGAAAAGCTACGTTTGCTGTTCTGGTGTGTTCAAGAAAAAGAAAGGGTATGAGGGATGGGGGGAAATTAGCACTGCTTGAAAGTACCATGTTAATTTCCTACTGATACTAACAGGAGTTGTATTAGGATGCAGGAGGGAAAACTGGACTACTGTGAAAATGATTTCTGGGCACTATGGTAACACAAATAATAACTTGCAGTATTTAACAAGATAGGTAAGGCAAGTCTCTTCACAGTCTTAACAGCTGGCATGTGGTTGAGTGGTATGAGCCTGAGATCAGAAATTATAAATGCTGTTCCTTACTCTGTCATTAACTCACTATGTTATACCAAGAAGGCCAGTCATCTGGGTCATTCCCCATGTATAAAATGGGGAGGGAAGGGGGAAGCCTCCTTCACAGGGATGTTGTGAAATCTAAGTAGTGCTTGAAATGTACTTTGAGATCCTTAAATGAGAGTCAGTATACAATTGTAAATAATTAAATGGTATTATAGAAAATAATGCAATTAGAACAATAAGAAGTGCTTACCAAAGGAACCACAAATGATTCTGTTTTAAAAAGAGTATTCTGAAAACACTATAATAAATGAAAAATTTACTTCTAATTTTATATTAAAAAATGGAATTGGCACTGAAAGAACATTGATAGTGTTCACATACTGTGGTCTATGGAATTACATCGATCACAATGTAAATAATCTATAGTAGGAATTAGAAGAGATTCTGGTATCCTGGAAGACTTTATCTGTACCATTAAATTGTATTCTGGCCTGCTTTGTATTCCTACAAGAGTATCCTCATTACCTTTAAGTATGTTTGGAAGGTTATACAGAGATCTGTCTGCATGGTTGTTTTATACCGTGCATTTCTATGAGGTAGAATCATCAATAATTGTATTTCACGACACCAAAACTTATGGTTTAGCAGGCACACAGGAGAATCAGGAAGCCAGGAAGAGATGTGTAAGAATTAGAGCAGTGTTGTGAACTGTATCAATCAGGAGAGATTTGGTACTAATAAATGTGAAGTCCTACTTACAGTGAAAGCAAATAAAGTGCTATAGTTGCTAAAAGGAGGGATTATGATCCCAGTTTAAT